CACTTCCTCCAGGAAGCCCTTCACTTGTGTACCTTTACACCTGGGTTGGATTCCCAGCTCTGAATTTTCATAAGCTCCTGTAATTAGGTCCCATCTTAGTGATTCTCATCCTGAATCTTGATCTTATTTCATCTGGAGTCCCTTTCCTCTCCCACAACCATGTTCCAGCTTCCCTGAGTGGGAAGTGTGTGCTCTGGCTCTGAGTGGCGCCACCTCTCGCTGAGGGAAGGTTATTCCTCTGCGTGGTTTTTCTCATTGCTCAAGGAGAATAGTTGTTCGGCTGCCCTCAACGTTCCCTGCCACTTGTTAATCTATTTTCAAATAATGTAAGATTAAGTCCAGGCTGGTACTGGCAGTAGGTGACAGGATTTAGCTTGAATTTCGTGCTTCGTTTTGTTTTCATTGTATCTGAGTTGTTATGATATTCTATTTTTGGAAAGCAGAACTGGTTTTTCCTCTACATAGAACAGTCATCTCTCATAAAATTAATTCATATGAGTACAGGAAGTAAATCACTTAAGAAAAAAATTGGCAAAAGGCTGTTCAGGTGGCATATATGGTGGTTAATGTATACATATTAAACTCATGGACATACACACATGTACATATATGCATGCTCACACATACATCCTCACATGTGTCCATACACACTTGCACATATGTATGTACATGAATACACTCATGATGACCAATTTGAATCAGAGAAATTCTGTCTTCTGTGCTGCTGAGTCATGAGGCTCAGAGTCTTAGTTCTATCATTAACTATCCGTGTGACAGGAAAATAATTATCTTTCTGTCACTCAGTTTACCCATAAAAAAAGAAAGGACTTCAGAGATGGGGTGAAGGGGCTTGCCTTACATGCAGTCATCCCTGGCAGCATACAAGTTCCTCTGAACAAGGAACACCAGAGGTGAGCACAGAGCCAGAGTAAGCCCTAAGCACCACTGGGTGTGGTCCAAAAACCAAAACCCAAAAAAATTAAAATGAAAGGCAGAGAAATAGTATAGGGATTAAGGTCCTCATGTTGCATGCACCAAATCCCAGTTCAAATCCCTTGCACTGCATATGGTTCCCTGAGCCCTACCAGGAATGACCTTAGCACAGAGCCAGGAGTAAACCCTAACAACTTGCAGGTGTAACCAAAATCCCCTCCTCCAAAAATAGCAAAGAACAGCATTTGATCATGAAAATTCCTGACTTCATCTCCCAGATACTATCTCTCTTCCTGCTCAGATGGTATGAACATAACATTCCAGAAAAGGGACCTCAAAGTGATCATACTTTTTATCCTGTAGCTGAGAACTCAGAAGTGCGTAGAATTAAGGTGACTCTCCCAAGGTCACACTGCGGTTTCATGTCTACTTCAATTCTCAGGTTCTGATCTCCCCTCTCAGTACATTTTTTATCCCCATTCTTATACCCTCCCCCCCCATATACACTACATTCCCATAAACATCTGTCAAAGGAGTTATTACTTTAACGCTAGTAACTAAAAATTATTTGACTAACAAAGCATAAGCAAATTCACACATGTGTATACATTCATGTGCACATAGAATCACAATATAAAGACACCTTAAAATAATGGAGAGGAGCTGCAGCCATAGTACAGCGGGTAGGGCGTTTGCCTTGCATACGGCCGACCCAGGTTCAATCCCGGCATTTAGTATGGTCCCCTGAACACTATCAGGAGTAATTCCTAAGTGCACAACCAGGAGTAACTTCTGAGCATCACCAATACTGAAAGGAGATGGCATAACTAAGTCCTCTATGTAGCATGTAAAAAATAAAGTTGGTTTTAAAAAAGAAAAAAATTAAGAAACCAATAATCACTGGATGCTGGATTTCAGAGTGTAACACTCTTGGCCAGGAAAGGAACTTGCCTGAGTTGAGAGGCATGTTACCAGGTGAATCCAAAATTATGATTCCCTCCCTGTTCTTTAGATTACCTGCAAGGAGCCCGGAGCCAGATTGGGCATGTAGATCTGAATGAAGATTAGAAAATAGAGAGTGGCTTCTGCCACAGAGGCAGGATGGGGTGGGGGGGGGGGGGTTGGGTGTGGGAGGGATACTGGGATACGTGGTGGTGGGAAATGGGCACTAGTGGAGGGATGGGTATTTGGTCATTGTATAATCGAAACCCAAGCACAAAAATTTGTAAATCTACAACTGTACCTCATGGTGTTTCACTAATAAAAAAAAAAGGGGGGGAAGAAAATAGAGAGTGGCTGAAACGATAGGATAGCACAGTGGGTAGGCATTTGCCTTGCACATGGCCAACCTGGGTTCAATCCCCGGGATCCCATATCTCCCCCAAACACTACGAGGAGTGATTCCTGAGTGCAGAGCCAGGAGTAATCCCTAAGCACTCCTTCCTGTAACCCCAAAACAAACAAAAACCAAAAAAGAATATAGGGTAACTCCCTTATCTTTGACTATTATTTATGCATAACAAAACTTGCTTAAGCAAAGACTCAATCCAAACCCCTCTTTACTCTGAATTGAAGGAGTTGGAGTATGGGCACAGGGGAGGCATCAAACCAGATTATTTTTTCAAACCACATTTTAAAATGGAATTTTAAAAACACTTTTAGAAACAGTTTTAGAAGAAGACTGTATATATGATATCACTGCAGTAGCACAGCACATTGTTCTCCTAATTTAAAATAATTGCCCTTCCCTTGTTTTTGGAGATGTGCTGGACACCTTTATACCTCATCTGCTTAGCAAAGTTTACCAGAATTTCAGGTGGACCAATTATACAGAATCAGACCAATTTAAGCCAATTTCCAATGAAATGTAAAATGCATCAGTAAACAGAAGACAAAAATACCTCTCACTGGAATATATGTATGTAAATGTGTGCATATGAATACATGTAAATAAATAATACATTGCATATATGTACATATAATACATATGTGTGTGTAGCAGTTGAGAAGGAACATGGCCAAACAGAATCCATCTGTAAAGATATTTCAGTTGATCTCATATGCTTGAGATGTGATTACTGGGAAGAAGAAAATTCTTAGTGCAGCATCAAATACAACATAAAGTTACATTAATCACTGAGCTCTCCACCCAGCAGTCTACATCAGAGGTCTGGTATAGCTATGTAAACCACTATCAGAGAGAGGGAAATTTGCATCTGGCTTAATGAGAGTAACCTGAGTGAGTCAAATGGGGAGCAGGTCATGCTGGGGTTTCCAGTCACCTTGAAGTCATCTTCAAATAAAAGATGCATGCAGTTTCTTGACCACCTGTGCCTCTGAGATCTCCCAGGAATGTTGCTGAAAGTATTCTGCATGAGAAGTTCAACTCATACACAGTGTCACTCCCTGCTGGGTGAATCTTATAGTTTGTGTAGGACTAAAACCATATCTATTTTTACATGCTACATAGGGGTCTTATTTATGTCTTTTTCTTCCAGTATTGGAATACTTTGTAAAGCAGAAAACTTTGATGATTAACCAAAAATCCAAGAGAATGTATGATGTACTGATATGTAGATAAGCCTGCAGAGTTGACTCCACTTCCTACTCCCACCCCTACCATCCCATCAAACAACTGGTCAACCCAATAATCTAGGAACTAAATGCAGAGGCTCCAACAGTAAAATATTAACTAATGGACATCAGGCAGCAAGTTCTATCATTTTGTACATGGGATACTTATATTTCAAATCAGGAATGAACCACCTGTATCAGCATCACTTGAGTTGCTTGTGAGGGAAAAAAAAATGTTTCTGGAGTGTATCATAGATCCACTGAGGAGCAGAAAATTTCTTGTTGCAGAAACTGCTCTGGTGACTTAATATACAAAAGAGTGCTAGAATGGCACTCCTCTGGGGCTCCTGTATCACCTAAGTCCCTAGAGAATGTGATTTTGAGGGGTTCAGTAGTGCCACAAATTATGAGTGCGGCCTCAGAAGACAAAGCTGTCACCGCCGATCCAGGTTGTGGACCTCACTAGTAGTTCACTGCCCTAGAGAGTCTGATTTCACTATCAAAGAACTCAAGCATGGTGGCAGGTGGCTTCAGAAGTGTCCCAAGGACCCCCCACCCCCTGATAGCCCCTTCTTTAGCAGTTTCCTCCTTTATGTGTGAGGTGCCCCTGGAAACACTCTTGCTATTACTAGAAGAGGCACAGGAACCATAAGTCAGGTCGTGAGACAAGTGTGGCTTCCACTCTGACCTCACCCACCCCCAGCTCACACTTCCCCCAGTGAAGAAGGTTGCCCTCCTATGAGCTATTCCACAGAGAATTTCCCATGACGAGGTCCCCTGGGCAGTTTCTGACCAAGAGTAAGCAAGAAAGCAGGTTTAGAAGCTCACCTTTTCCTAATTGATGTTGCATGAGAAGACTGGAGCTACACTGCAAGCCTGGCCATAGCCAAGAGAACCACCCAGAGCCAGAGGATGTGGCTAAGTCACACCTAGATTCCTTCCTTTCCACAGAATCCATGGGATAATGAATATTTCAGGCCACCGTGCATGTTATACCATAAGAGAAGAGCTGCCCTGAAATCAACAGGACACCTCAGCACTTGGGCCATCAACCAATCCACCATGTTTTCATTCCCCGTTAAAAGGAGACAAACATCTGTGATTGCAATGGGGCCACATTTAATAACAGGCAGTGTTTACATAGAATTTCGACCACAATTCTCTTAGGGCTCAATTTTCAAGCCTTAGCTCATGGAACACATCTTCAGAATCTCCGGGTAATAATGCAGGAACAGGACCAGAGGACAGACCTCAGTAATCTCTGTCCACACTGGCTGCCGCTGAGTGCAGAGCCTGGTGTATTTCCTCCACGTTTGGTCCAGGCTGAGGAGAGAGATGCAAGAAACTCCCATTCTCCCTAAGCATGGGAGGTTCTTTCCCTGAGAAATGACAGTGACAGGAACTAAGTCCCCTGCTCACAATCCCTCCAGGTCAGCAAGTGATTTTTTCACAGCAGAAAGAGGAAAGTTGCGGAGGGGGTGATGGAGTGCCCCCTCCATCATTGAGTGCTCCCCAGCATTCAATGGGAATGCTGAGTTCCCATTGACCCTCCTCCTCTCTAAGATGATTATGTGCCAAGAATGTCCACTCCAGGGACCCTGTGCACAGGAGGATTATCACCTACCGGAAAGGGTCCAGACACAAGTCAATATTCTTGACCTGATCTGTCACCTGCCACTTTATGACCCGACAAGCTCTAGCCATGGTTAGAAGCCAGGAGATGATGCGGTCATCTGACTCAGCACACAGGAACCTCTAGCACGGAGAAGTGTCGGGCTATGGCCACTGGTCCATGGCAGGCCCCTCTCCTCAGAGGGCCAGGGCCCCACTGCTCAGCCAGCGCGCCCTCTCAGAAGAGCGCCCCATGGCACTGCTCTGCCACAGGGGGCTGTGGCAGATGTCATCCAGCATGCTCCTAATGGTATTCTGCAGCTCTTCATCCCCCAGCAGGACTGCAGCTGCCAGGGCCAGGCAGAGGTACTCAATGGCATCATGGGCATCCTAAACCCCACGGCAGGGGGTGAAGAAAAGAAATACAGCATCAGTACGCATTCCTGGGACGGGCTGGGAGGTAGTAGAGGGCATCTGGAAACTACATCAAACTGCCAGTTTCCTAGATCAAACTGCCACCCCATCCCCTTCTACTGGTTTCTTGGAGGAACTCCACACCGCTCTGGCCTCTGGATGTTGCTCACCCCAGTAATTTTCTTCCAAAGTCATGGGAAACACCATGCCCATCTCAGCCAATCATAAAACAGCATGGCCCTAGGCAGAATGATTCCGGGGTGATTGGAACTGACATACCACCACTGCTGGGGACCTTTCAGTGTGATCTAAGAGGGAAAAGCTCCATTACCCTGGAGATGTGGGCCAACATCTCCAAAGAGCTAAAAGGGAAAGAAGGGGAAGAAGCATAAGAAGTAAAATACAGTCAGGAGGCTAAGCTGATGTAGAGAACATGAAGAATAGGGTCCTTGGGCTATATGCCTGGACACATTGCCAAGAACTGCTAAGCCCAAGCTCCAGACATCCTTAAAACCATTGGATAAAACCCCAATAATAATATTTACATTTTTGGGGGTCACACCCGGCAATTCACAGGGGTTACTCCTGACTCTGAACTCAGGAATTAGTCCTGGAAGAGATCGGGGACCATATGGGATGCTGGAAATCAAACCTGAGTGGACAGCATGCAAGGCAAACACCCTACCACCTATGCTATCGCTCCAGCCCCCCAATAATAAAATTAAAATTTAAAAATACAGAGCCAATAGACATTGAAAGGCAGGGAAATTCATGATGATATTTGAGTATTGGTATCCAAACCATCAGAAGCTATGTTTATACCTGAACTCATAACCAATAAGTTGGCATTTTTCTGGCACTGCCTAGAGTCCTTATTTAACACAATCTTATCTCACACACCTAGCCCCTCTACCACTTCCTGAGAGCTGTGGAACTGAACCACTTCCTGGGAGCTGGACAAGATGACTGGAGTCCTTCCTGCTCCCCCATCCCTTCCTTCCTACGTGGCAGGAATGAGGAACAGATGCTTTTTGGGGTGATATTCAAAAAGGAATGCTGAGTTCCCATTGACCCTCATCAGTTAATAATTTAGACCAGAAACAATGTCTGACAAACAAGAAAATCAAAGTAGAGCTGCCGAGGGACCCAGGGGTGAGCACTGCATGACTCAAAAGCCACTGCATTGAGAGATCAGGGACGAGCTGCAGTCCACGGGGACTTTGGTCAGGAGAAGCCAGGACTGTAGGGAAGAATCACAGACCACCTACACAGCTCTCAAAGTCACTAATAATAAAACCACGCGGATTCAACTCCAGTAGAGCAAACAGAAGAGTTAAGGACTCTTAGAGCCTACTTCATACTAGCAATGCTTGTGTTCAAAGACCACTCTATTTCTGGATATGGCATCTCGTCCTGGGTTTGTCTCAAACATGATGGCATGTTCCTGGGTTTCTCAAGAGAGATTGAGCTCTATAAGTTTGTAAGAAGTGAATTACGGGGTCCAGAGTGATGTTACAGCAGGGAGGGCACTTGCTCGCATGCAGCCCACCCAGGTTTGATCTCTGGCATTTCATATGGTGCCCTGAGCACTGTCAGGAGTAATTCCTGAGCACAGGGCCAGGAATGGCCTCCAAAACAAAAACAAATAAAAGAAGTGAGTTGCAGCTGACTAGCTGGTCAATAATATTTTAAAGAGAAATGTAGGACAGGTCTTCCCAAAAATAATTAAGATAGGCTTTCTCCAATAAATGTCACCTTGGCATCAAGAGTGAAGAAAATAATCAATACCTAAGGCAACCAGACAGACACAGAAGCCAAAGACCTAAACCAGCCAAACCACTCTGTACTATCCTTGCATTCTCTGTTATATTCTCATCAATAAAGAAGAAATACAAAGCACCCAAGTTTTATATTAAATGGCTGAACAAAAACTCTTTAAATTCTGTTTTATTGAAGTAGAGTAATTTACAAACTTATTCATGGTTGGGCTTTAGACAAGCAATGTTCTATCACAGATCCTGCCACCAGTGTCAACTTCCCTCCAGCAGTGTTCCCAAATTCCCCCTCCTACCCCCACTTCCATCCCCACCCTGCCATCTGAAACTTTTTTATGTTTGGCTGTTAAAGTTTGGGTGTCATGATTTCAGTGTTTCTCTGTGGTTTTTGATTTCTCTATGGTTTGTAGATGTGGTAAATACACAATGGAATATTATGCAGCTGTACAAACCCCTTACTTTTAACTTAGTCTTATACTAAGTTCCTCCCAACCTGGGGAGTTTTATTCTCTTCTACTTTTCAATAAACTTTTCTATTTTCCAACTCTGAACCCGAGCATCTTTATTACTAAATAATTTTAGTCTTGAAAGTATTGAAGAACCTGGGGAATGTGGACCAACACAAAGACTGCTCTACATGAGCAGGACAAAGACTGAAAGGGGATGGATTTTTTTTTCCACAGCAAGATGCAGCCCTTTGAGATCTCCGTTGGGTAAGAGTAAAGCACTGTTACCCCCTCCATGAGACAAAATTCCCATCTGTGTTCTCTCACCTCTACCCTGAAACTTGGGGTGAGGGAATAATATTGCTGGCAAGTCTGGCAGAACCCAGGGAGCCTGGCTCTTACATTCAGCTGGTAGAAGGTGAGTCGGCCCAGGCGAGAGTACACCTTGACATAGTACAGGGCCTCCTTGGGACTCTGCAGGCAAGGCGGACAGAGGGACAGGGTCTTCAGGTAGCAGTCCTCGGCCATCTCGTACATGCGCAGTGAGTAGTAGACTGTAGCAAGACGGTGAAAAGCCACCAGCTCCTGCTTCTGATCACCTAAGGATTGCACAAGAGTCCTTCAGCGAATGCTATACATCATTATTCACTTATTCTGTGTTTTATGGAGCTACTAGGCATCGAAGACTATGCTTGGGCTTTATGCAGCCAATATCAATGGATACAAACATTTCTTAAATAGTTCCACAAAGAGGCCAAAGAGATAGTACAGTGGGTAGGGCAGTGGTCTTGCATGTGACCAATTTGGGTTAAATACTAAGTACCACATATGATATAAACCCCACCAGGAGTGATTCCTGACTGCAGGGTAGGGCCAGGAGAAAGTTCCCCCAAACCACCTGGTCACGGTCATGGTCCTCCCGTTATTCATCGATTTGCTCGAGCGGACCCAGTAACAACGCCTTCGTGTGACTTGTTGTTATTGTGTTTGGCATATTGAGTACGTCACAGGTAGCTTGCCAGGCTCTGCTGTGCGGGCGAGATACTCTCGGTAGCTTGCCAGGCTCTCCGAGAGGGGCAGAGGAATCGAACTCGGGTCTGCCATGTTGGCTGCGTGCAAGGCAAATGCCCTACCCGCTGTGCTATCGCTCCAGCCAACCACCTGGTATGGCCCAGAAATATATATATGTCCCACAAATCAAAGTAATATTGTTCCTGTGACAAGAGAGGTGTAAAGGAGTTCTGAAAAATCAGTCCCCAATATACCACTTTGACAGATGGATTATTTTAAATTAAAAGTTTTTTAACAGGCCAGAGAGATAAAGCAGATAAAGCACTTTACTGGCACATAGGCAATCCCTGGCATCACATATGGTCCCTCAAGCATCACCAGGAGTAATTCATGAGTGCAAAGCCAGGAATAACCCCTGAGTACTGCCAGGGTGGACCCAAAACCAAAATAAAAATAATAAGTAAAATCATTAATTAAAAATTTACTTTAAAAAATAGTCAATGCAAGAAGGGTCAGGGACCCTCCCTTGTCCTCTAAGAAAAGGATATTATCTCCCCATGAAAAGTGCCCACCCATGGCAGGAGGTGGAGAGGGATTATTACCTCACATGGTACCCAGTTTGTCAGAGATCCTATATCTCTTCACAAGTTAATGTCTCTGCCTGAGTTTCTTTGGCTTCTAAGTTCTTCATATTATTGTTTCTTGTCAAAAAGGTATAAAAACAGTCTGCTTTTCTCACCTCTCTGAGTCTCCTATCTTTCTCCCTCTATATGTGCAAAATTATTTTTCTCCTGCTAGTCTGTCATATGTCAATTTAATGATTAACCAACTAAAATAGTGGGAGAAAAATTTTTCCTCTCCTACATCACAAAAAATGGGGGGGGGAGGGAATCACACGGGACTTTCTTGAGGGTGAACATCTAGGTTTGGAGGTATTTTTGCAGAGGTCACTGTAACTCAGGATTCTGAGAAACAGTTATTCCCAAATCCCTGTGATGGGACTTGTTAAGAAGATGGACGAGCTTAATGGAGCAGCCAAGCCAATGAGGAGTCAGTAGAAGGAATAGATTGTCCTCAGGGACACCTTTGACTTTTAAAAGTAGGTGTTCTTCTCTGGGACCCCATGCTCCTTTACCAGCCCCTAGTCTCAGAGAAGCTTCAGAGAGACAAGTTACTTTTCACCCTATCTGACAGCATTGGTTTTGTCTGGGTCTATGATTTCTTGGTTTGCTCTTTGATGGGTTCATTGTTTTATTTCTTAATATAAAGTGACTTTTTAAAGAAAACAAAGACTTTTAATTGTAGTTGGGGTGTGGTGAGAAATTGCAAGGCAACTGATGCAATCTGTAGTATGTGTCTACATTTTAAAGGACCAACATGAAAGATTAAAAAAAATTTTTCTGATATGGAAAAATCCAGCCAGGGGAAGTCCATGAAAGGGTGGTTTCCTTTCTGCTTTCCAAGTGTATCCTCCTTTCTCCAGTGGAGACTAGGGAGATCTCAGGAAGTGATTTCTTGGAATTAATAACCACACCTCAAACAAGGTTTTCTGCAGTAAAAGAAATGGGAGGTAAAGGAGTGTGTTTGTGTGTGTGAGAGAGAGAGAGCGAGCGAGAGAGAGAGAGAGAGAGAGAGCTGCAGAGCAACTCAATATGATAAAGTCCAGTACTATCTATGTCTTAGAATCTTGAGAATGTTCATAAAGTTCTTCTAGAATCTTCTAAAGATTCCATTTGCCCCTCCATCAAGGATTCTCTAATTAAATCTATTTTTTCCTAAACACAAAATGGATTTTTATGTTTTTTATTTTTGCTGTTTAAAAAATGTTTCAATGACTTTTCCCCCACTAACTTTTGATTAAGTGCAAGCTAAATTTCAGTTAAGCAATGTGTTAAATTAATGGAAACATGACTTTAATCTGCATTTCAATTCCATAGGGAAAATGTGCATTAGACTTAAAATCCATCAATAAAAAATGTAGGTTTCAGTCCCTTTTGTGTGTTGCATGAGTATCATGGTACCAAGGGGAAAAAATTACTACTTATGTTGCATCTAGGAATAAGACCAAGAGCAATGCAGTGAGTGTCATGGGTAACACTTTTCAAGGACTAATTATAGCCCAAGCAGCACTATTCTGCAGGTTTTTTGCATAAGCAATCTTTGGTCTTCATAAGCATAGCACAAAGGGCTGTCGTTTTCACCTCATGTGTTGATGAGAACAGCTTGCCCCACCGGGGCTCCAGACAATGGACCCTGGGACTTGAACTACATAGTCTAAGTCCTGAGCCTAATCTGTTACAACTCCACTGATGGTGCTGGGGAGTCCGACCCTTTCTATCAGACACCTACCATTAGAGCCACCTACCCACCACTGTGCTGAGCCTTGCCGCCATCGTGGCAAATTCTAGTGCCTTGTCGTAGCCTTCCAGGCTGATCTGCAGCTCGGTCAACTTGTTGAAAATCCGCAGCTCTGTTCTCACGGCCTTCATTCTCCTTGCTAAGGGAATAGCGCCAGCCTGAGAGCACATGGAGAGATTGAGAATAAACCTCCCCTAAAGAGGACCTGTGACATTTTGGGGGGCTTTGAGCTGAAGACATTAGGGACCTACCTGCTCCTTGCCCGCCATCTCGGAAGGCTTGTTCCACTTTTTCCTTAACTGTGTAAAGTAACTAGATAGAGGGCCTGTTCCAAGTAGGAAACTATCACCAGACTTAAGTACAAAATCAAAAACTATACGTGAGTTAAGTGCAGTCGACTAAAGGAAGTTGTGAGTGCAGGATGCTCCTTAGTCCAGCGTGGTCCACGGATCTCATATTGCCCAAATGACTCTGGTCCTTTACACCATTGTGAGACCCGTCTTTGTATCTCACCTGATAGCCTTTCACTCATTAGACCAGACAAAGTATTTTAAAGGGTAAAAGGAAAACATTTCTTTCCCAATGACAGGCAACAAGAACCTAGTCAAGGCAAGATTCCGTGGAGACCCCAATCCAGAAGTCCAAAGGTTCTATGGGGAGGCTGAGGGCATGGCCGTGACTAAAGCCAGGAGGACACAGTCAAAGTCCACATTTACCAGTGCTTGTTGAATGTTTGATGACTGAATAAACAACCAACCCAATGAATGAATATCTGAATAATAAATAAGTAAAAGTATAAGATCAAATAAGCTAATGAGATTTCTGAAACCAGAAGCAACTACAATTGTTGACATCTACTTAATAGCTAGACATTAATTTAATAAACACTATCTCTTTCCTTTTTTACTTTCTTTCACTACTGGGGGTCCTCCCAAGAGGTGTCCGGGGGTCCTAGAGTTCACTCCCAGTGACTCTTTGTTAACAGGCTAAATGCTCGGAGACTGAGAAATCAGTTCTGCTGAGTCCTTGTGGTGCAGGGACCATCAGTGGGGGTGTGCAAGGGCCTCCACACTGTACCCAGTTCTAGTCAGGGGACCATGGACTACTGGGAATGAATCCAGGGTCTGGTATATGCCTAGTGTGAACCCCTTCTACTATCTCTCTAAGCCTCAGCACAATCTTTTGTTTGGCTTTTTGGGTCACACTCGACGGTGCTCAGGGGTTACTCTTGGTTCTGCACTCAGGAATTACTCCTGGCAGTGCTCAGGGGACCATATGAGATGCTGGGGATTAAACTCGGGTCAGTCACATGCAAGGCCAACACCCTACCCTCTGTACTATAGCTCCAGCCCCCTCAACACAATTTCTTAAATCAACTCTCATTATCTTGCCTCATCCTTTGCAATAATAACTAAAATCATGAGTTTGAAGAGGTGGAATTAAAAGCTTTTTTACTTTTGAATCTCTTTTAATGTGTACTGCAAAAAAAGCATAGTCTAGCAGAAGTTTTTATTCACATATCCTTTTCAGTGGAGTCTCCTCCCACAGGGAACCTGGAACCATCTGGTAAGCACAGGGGAGCGCTGAAGTATGGAGCCCTGGGGATGGAGTACTAGCCACGCCCGAAGGAAAGCTGAATAACAACCACTTCAACAGCCTGCTAGACTGATGAGCATGTGGGTAGCAAGGAGCAGGGGCTCCCTGACCAGACTCAAGGGCCTCCCCAGTGGGCCTGGACTCACTCGGTAATATTCCACTGCACGGTGTCGCAGGCGTGGCCCATTGAAGAACACGTCACCTGCCTCCTCATAGAGCTTGAGAGCCAGGGACATCTCCTCGGACTGAAGCGCCTTCTGGATGGCGGCCTGCAAGGGACAGAAATGGCCGTGAAAGTCAGCAAAGGGGACTCCAAACGTCCGCAGAATGGCTAGGAGTGGTGAGCTTGGCCCCCGAGCTGACCCTCTGCTGACACCCCCGCATCCTGATTTGCCCTCCACACTCAGAGACTGGTGGGAAGCCGTTCTTGGCTCTGACATCTCCCTTTCATGGTGGGTGATATTACTTTGGCGGTCTTGGATATGATTCTTTGCAGTATAGAATCAAAAAATGTTTTCGATTTAAGGATTTAATTTTAACGTATTTTAGATGTCAAAATTAGTAAAACAGCAACACCTATGACTTTAGGTACTATTGTTTAATGTAAAATTCTATGTTGATTTGAAGTGGAGTGAAAGAACGTAAGTATATGAAAGTACAGAAGGTACTTGGCTATGGCCAACCCACAAACTTGATGTACAAATATAATTTAGACAACAGTGGGTGGTCTAGCATCTCTACTTTTCAGATGGAGAAATGGAAGCCCAGAAAGAACAAAGATCATCTCTAAGGTCATCAGGAGTGTGTGACAATGCTGTGGCCCCTCAGCCTCATTTTTTCCAGCAAATTATTTCATGTTACATATGAAAAATGAGAAGGGGAAGCTGGGCTCAGCACAGCTCCAGGGTCACAGACCACATCTGTGAAGAGATCCCAGAACATCCTTTAGCAGTCGTTGGCTGAGAATCAACCTGGAAACATTTTTTTTTCTTTTTCTTTAATTAAATCACCATGAGAAACACAGTTACAAAGTTGTTCAGATTGTGTTTCCATCAGGAATCAGTTCTAACCAGCAAAGCCCTAGAGTTCTGGGGTAGAGCAGGCTACAAGATGACCTCCTAGAGCGGGGACCCCCTACTGCCACCGAGCAGAGTGAAGAAAGGATGGCACTGTCAGCTCTCTGAAATGAGGCAAGCTCTCAAAACAGAAGGCAGAATAGTCCAGAGCTGAGAGTGAAGATTTCGGAATAAACTGTGATGATACAATTCTCACCACTTACTAGTTTTATGAACCCCATCTGCAAAAGAAGAATTTCAAGAGAAACTCCTACTGCTTTTGTAAGAAGGTTAAACTGCACCATGTACCTGATGTGCTTAAAAGCTTCTTCTGTATATAACATGAAATCAATTCTATACAACCATTATTAAGGCTCAGTGGAAGAAAATGTGCTGGAATTTAATAGGATACAGAGATAAAAATGGGAGGGAAATATGATATGCAAATTTCTAATAGTACAAATTTCTTTTTATACCATAAAAATATAAATACTGGTCATATCTTAGTAATAATACCACCAGGATGGTAATGTTAATAATCCCATTCATTAGGACTTTACTAAGTCCCAAGAATTTAGTAAATGTTTAATATGAATGTACATTTACAAGGCAAGGGATTACCTGATCCTTACACTGAGAGTCAGAGTTCATGTATGAGGAGACTGAGACTGAGAGTCCAGGCTCCATAATCCATGGCCCTATGGTTTGATTCCTCTCTCCAAAGTCCTGACTCACTGCACTAGATCATAGTTCAGATACTAAACATTCAAAAACCAAAGACTCCTCACATGTTGGGGGAAAAGTCAGCTCAGATAGAGAAGGGAACACCAAGTAAAGGCTAGGAGGGCCCACTCAAGATGGGAGATGTGGACTGAAAGTAGACTATAGACCAAACATGCCGGCCACTATATACCTCTACTGCAAACCACAACATCCAAAAGGAGAGAGAGAGAGAGAGAGAGAGAGAGAGAGAGAGAGAGAGAGAGAGAGAGAGAGCAAAAGGGAATGCCCTGCTACAGAGGTGGAGTGGAGTGGAGGGGACGGGGTGAGAGTGGTAGCAGGAATTATGGGACCATTGGTGGTGGAAAATGACACTGGTGGAGGGATGGGTACTCGATCATTGTATGACTGAAACACAAGCACGAAAGTTTGTAAGTCTATAACTGTACCTCACAATGATTCAATAATAAAAATTTTTTTAAAAAAAACCCAAAGATTTATAAGATGCTTACAATCATGTTAATTAGAATCACATTTGTGAGGAATAATATTTGACATAATTGACTATATGGTTTACCTGCAAGCACCATCATAGTATAAAAATAATGTTATGCACAATCATAAAATATTAATCATCTTAACACATCTCACATAGAATCTTTAACCCAAATAGCACACACTGAAATATAGCTTCCCATCAATCTTGATGAAGATGAATACTCTGGATGTGATCATGGAGGTGTACACAGAGCTTGGCTCCTGATGCTTTCCTACCTGCCTTCAGCCCGCCAGGCCAGTCTGGTCTCTGGTCCATGTATAAGGTCTGGGGATCTGCCCGAGGTTGACCCTCCTTCCAAGGGCTGGGCATGGGAGTCACCATATATAGCATATAGCTGCTCCCCAGATGGCCTGAACCCCAGAGGAGTCCTACCTGCAAGTAGAGCTCCACCAGCTCATCTTCCTGCATGAGATAGTGGAGCCGCCCAGCCCCAAGCCAGGCTTCAGCCACCTTGTCACGCTCCCCCAGGTCTATGAAGATGCGCAGGCTCTCCTTGATGCACGTCAGGGACCTCCTGAGGGACCTGAGGGAGGACGCAGAGGCAGAGATGTGAGGGCTCAAAGGAACAATGGTGTCACTGAGCACAGAGAGGAACCAAGGCTCAGGAAGGAGACAATGATAGCTCTAGAGATTTGAATCCCATTTCTGGCTCAACCAGCTGTGTGTCCTTACAAATACACAGAACCTCTCTCTACCTTAGTTGCCTCAACTGTAAATGGGAGGGTTAATGGTACCTGCCTGAGGGTTTTTTTTTTTTTTGTGAAGAGGAGATAAGGATTAAATTTGAATGCTTAAAACAGCACTGACAGTAGAACAAAGCCTGATGAGTACTTAAATGCTAATTATTAGTAGCACTGTAGCACTGTCCTCCTGTTGTTCATCTATTTGCTTGATCGGGCACCAGTAATGTCTCCATTGTGAGACTTGTTACTGTTTTTTGCATATCAAATATGCCATGGGGAGCTTGCCAGGCTCTGCTGTGCGGGTGGGTACTCTCAATAGCTTGCTGGGCTCTCAAGAGGCATGGAGGAATTGAACCTGGGTCAGTCAAGTTTTTTGTTTGTTTGTTTTTGTTTTTATTATTTTATTGAGGTTTGGGGCCACACTTGGCAGTGCCCAAAGACTTTCATGTTTCTGTGCTCAGAAGTGATCCCAGGACGTGTTCAGGGGACCAGATATGGTGATAGAGATGGAACCAGGGTCAGCAACATGCAAGGCAAATACCTTACCTCCTTAACTAACTCATGGGTCACTCTCTTTAATTTCTATTTTTAAAAAAGCAGTGGAAACTATTTATATGATTTTTGAGACTTGGCCAGCCGTGCAAGGGGGTGGTTCCGGCAGAGTTGAGGGGATCGTGAGAGAAGCCAAGTCCACCTGCAGGCATGCGCTCACTTCCGCGTCAGTAAATATAACTGCTCTACGAGGGAGCTGATCCTCCAGCTCTTATGTCTTTCCTCCAAAGCATCGACCGTCTCCAAAGAGCGAATATTACAGACCAAACCAAACAATTTCGGGACTTCAAAATCTGGAACATAAAATGGTGGGCCTCTGTGTTTGGTTGGGTCTTAGGAAAGAACAGCCAAGAGGTACTAAAACCCCTTTCCCATGAGGGACAGCATTAAATCCGTGCAGTGCTTCCAATCTCCAGGACTGATGGCGACCAAGGCTCTTCTATCCCAAATCCAGTCAAACTTGCCGACGTGGGGCTCTGGGCAGATTAAAAGGTTGCAGCAGTACAGCCTTATCTGCTGTGCTCCAGCCCGCTAATTTTTAGTATTATTTATTATTACTCGTCTATGCTCCACCCATTTTTCATTGCACTGTAATCTTTTTTTATATATATAAATACATAGCACACACCACTGAGTTTATATTGAATAGATGCATATCGGCTGGAGCAATAACAGCGGGTAGGATGTTTGCCTTACACGCTGCCAACCAGGCCAACTTGGGTTCAATTTTTCCACCCCTGTCGGAGAGCCCGGCAAGCTACTGAGAGTTTCTTGCCCACATAGCAAAGCCTGGCAAACTCCCCATGATGTACTCAATATGCCAAACACAGTAACAAGTGTCACAATGGAGACGTTACTGGGCCCGCTTGAGCAAATAGATGAACAATGGGAGGACAGTGCTACAGAACTACAGATGCATATGAATGATTACTCTGGAGAGAGCAAATCAATCATCAAAAAGATTTTTACATTTTAACCATTAATAAATGATTTTTTTTTCAATATGTTGGGGAGTGGTGATGGAGAGAGAGATTAATGGGCTGAATCATGCGGGGTTAGATCCTCAACGCTGCACAGTCCGTGAGGACTGAAAAAATAGTTAAAGAATCTGATGTTTTGTTTAAGAGGAAAAATCAAGATGGGCCAAAGTTTTTAAAGATTGGCAGTTAATCAAATGTTATTTAATTACCTGGAAAGTTTTTTTTCACTGGTGGAGGGATTGGGCCACACCCATCTGTGCTTAGTGCTTGGTACTGGCTCTGGTGGGTCTGTGGAACCATATGGGGTGTTCAGGATCAAACCCGGGTCAGTTGTGTGGAAGGCAAGTGCCTTACCCACTGAACTATCATTCCAGCCTCTCTAAGAAATTTCCTTGTGTTGAAAATTCTCTTGTGGCATAGAGAAAAAAAAAAGGCCTGGCTGGCAAGATTCAAAATTCTAGAACAAGGTGACCTGGACAGAGGGTAGCTCTCTACTCCAGCAGCAATGAACTCCTTTGAAAGCTATTAAATGCACCACTGTGGCTGTTGGTTGACTTTCTTGCTTTCCCAACCCTGGGGAGTGTGACTCAGAGGCTCATTTTGTCATGGTCACCAACATGAACTGGACGATGCTCAGCCAACACAGCTTCTGTGGTTTAATAGGAAGCAGCTCCAGAGATGGGGGGCGGGGGGAGGAGTGTTGCGTGCTTGACCCAGACACAAAGCACACTGCGGAAAGTCCGAGGCAGGGATGAGGCCCCTTGGTGCCAGTGTAGCCCCACACCACAACTTCCTGTCTTCTTCAAAGTCTAAATCACAGCCCCCTGCCCTTGGCCTGAGGTTTGTCAGCATCCCAAATGGACCCTGGCCAGCCGCTCTCAAGTGCTGAGAAGCCAGACTCACTGCTGACACTGGGCTGAAGGCCAGCAGCTGCAGGCAGCACCAGACACCATCACGACAGGAAGCCCCTCTCACTCTGAGCCCCAGCACCACAAGCAGAGAAGTTCAGGAAGCCTGGCTGCACCTCTCTGCGACTCTCATAGGAACAGCTGATAGAGCCAGGACCCAGCCAGCTCCTCCTCGCTCTGATCCTGGTCCTGGTCCTGATCCTGGCTCCAGCTTGTTTTTTATTGCCTTGCTGCCCTGGGCGTGGCCAACTTGTGCTTCTCTTCCCCAGACCTTAGGCAGCCAGAGCTGGTTATTACAGACCCAAGTCCCAGGGTATGGACTTTTCTCTCTAAGCAATCTCTGTGGACAGAGGTTAAAAAACCAGGAAATATGTACAGGGGTTGGGGACAGTGCTGAGGTGACTCGTTTTCGTGCTGTCAAAGACCACAGTGACCTCAGGATGGCCACCTGCTGGGAGCATCAGTGAAGCACCATCAGTACCATGGTCCCAAATTGGAAAGCAGCCTCAGCTCCCTGGGTCCTTTCCTATAACCACTCACCACCCCTTTGCTCCCACCTGCCAGTGGATGTCTGTATCAGCCACCAGACGCATTCCTCACTAAGCAGAGAATGCTCCAGAAACCTAACTCCTCCAGTTTGCACCAGAGGTGCTAGAGGCAGAATTCTCAAATGTATGTGTCCAAATGTATATGTCGTTCCCAATGTTCTCCCTTCCGAAATCCAACACGCCATTTCGTCAGTAAAGAAACGAACAGCACCCGGTCCAGACAAGGTCAGACCTGAACACCTGAAGAACCTGCCATCAGTACTCATCAATACGCTGGCTCAGCTCTTCACATGCTACCTGTCTGAATGGAAATTTCCGTCCCAATGGAAAACCAGCAGGACCGTACTACTGTACAAGAAGGGAGACATCCATGACATTGGCAACTATCGCCCAATCTGCCTATTGTCTGTCATCTACAAGTTGTTCACTCAAGTCATCCTAAATAGGATTGGCAGAACACTAGATGAAGGACAACCATGCGAGCAAGCCAGGTTCCGCAAAGGATTCAGCACCATCGACCATATCCACACGGTAACCAAGCTCATTGAGGTTTCTCGGGAGTTCAAGATGCCGCTCTGTCTAACGTTCATTGATTTAAAGAAGGCCTTTGATTCTATTGAGACAGAAGTGGTCATTGAAGCCCTAGCCAATCAGGGCATTCAAGCTCAATACATCAAGATCCTCCGTGAGCTGTATTATGGATTCACTACCAGGATCTCACCATTCTACAAAGAAGTAATCACTGATGTCAAGAGAGGGGTTTGGCGGGGTGATACCATTTCACTGAAACTCTTCAGTGCCACCCTCGAGAACATCATGCGACGACTGGAATGGGAAGGAATGGGAGTGAAGATAGATGGTCGGCAACTACACCACCTCCGCTTTGCTGATGACATTGTTTTAATAACACCAAACATTAGCCAAGCGGCACAAATGCTGGCCGACTTCGACCGTGAGTGTGGAAAGGTCGGACTACAGCTGAATCTTACGAATTCAATGTTTATGAGAAACAGCCTCGTTCCTGATGCCCCATTGGCTCTCAACGGAACGACCATCTCTGAATGCAACAGCTATGTGTACCTAGGTCGAGAAGTCAACATGACAAATGGCACCCGAGCTGCGCAGGAGAAAGAGAGTGGCTTGGAATACCTTCAAGAGCGTCGAAGAAATAGCTAAGAGGACGAAGAACCTCCGGCTCCGGGCACATTTCTTTGATTCCACTGTTCTTCCTGCATTAACATATGCCTCAGAGACCTGGGCCCTATGCAAACAGGATGAGAACGCTATTCGGGTCTCCCAAAGAGGAATTGAAAGAGCTATGCTTGGAATATCACGTTTCACTCAAATGAGAGAAAGAATCCAGACTTCCGAACTCTGTCGATGACCAAGAATCAGGGACGCTGTCTCGTTTGCCAAGGCATCAAAAATCAGATGGGCTGGTCATGTAATGAGATTTAAAGACAAATGCTGAACTAGAGCTGTTACCAACTGGATTCCACGGGATGTCAAAAGACCGCGTGGCCGCCCACCTACCAGATGGTCAGACTTCTTCATCAAGATCATGAACGATCGGTTTGAGGCTCTTTGTGTTCCTAGAGCGAACAGACGCCACTGGGCTACACTAGCATGCAACAGGGACAAATGGAGATGTTACTGGCGCCCGCTTGAGAAAATCGATGATTAATGGGAAGTCAAGTGATCAAGTGATATATATATATACACATATATGTATGTAAGGGCTGGAGTGATAACACAGTAGGTAGGGCATTTGCCTTGCACGCGGCTGACCTTGGTTCTATTCCTCCGCCCCTCTTGAGAGCCCAGCAAGCTACCGAGAGTATCCCGACCACAC